CTACCGGCATAGGTGTGACATGGACATTAAACATGATCTTTGTTTTGTCCATGTTCATCTTAAGACCTATCCGTTGGGAAACACTATTGAGGTCATTGAGCATAGTGCTTAGGTCCTCCAGCGATTCTGCCATAAGGACTATATCGTCGGCAAATCGAAGGTGAGTGATGTACTGTAATAATGCCACTAGAGTAATCAATTTTGTTTATAAATATCTAGGTCTATTGAAGGCATGCCCCTGTCATTTACTTTTTTCCAAAAAATTATTACAAAGATAAATATGCCTCTCCAAAAACCTAAAAAAATTACCCGTTTTTACCTCCGTAATCAAACGTCTACCAAACAAATTTGAAAAGTTTTTAAGATAAAAACAAGTAATAGGAGCATAGATCTATTCGTTCTTTAAATTTTGATACCAAAAATAATTTAATCGGCTTAGTTTTCGAAGAGAAAACAGGAGAATACGAAATGTCGATCGGTCATGGTTTTTGTACGTAAAATCGTTCTGAGGTGCAGTTGTCCCTATCGCACTCTACGGGGGGCGACCAGAGGTGAGGGATGGTTAGACTAATAAGTACTTATTAGTCTAAACAATTAGGAAAGTGACAACTGTCGAAGTTTTTAACGCTATCATAGTGATGTCAGTCGATATCGACGTTTATCCTATACTGATTTACAGGCGGCACAGAAGAGTGAAATTATTAAGACAACGAAGTATAAATTCAGTGAATTTACATCTAGTATTATTTGAAATGAACTTTAGCAAACTTTAGTAAAATAATACGTAACTAATGTTCGGATTCTACTGATTGGTGAATAATTCTGCTTACTTGATTTGCCAGCTTTACTGGGGAGTTTATAAAATAATGACTAATTATCAAGTAAATTCTTAATATTTATGTAGCAGAAGAGTTCCTTGTGGGTATTTTAAATAAATTAAGAATAATTATACAGGGTAATTTTTAATTTACTGAAGACCTTTTGGGAATATATTATTTACATCATAACAACAACATCTGTAAGAAAAGAAATTATATTTCTTCAATTTTTATTTTTATACAAAAATGAAAATATTTGAATTGGACCTTCTAAACGGCAATAGTCCTAAATAGCAAAATAAAGCGCGTGGCGGGGTAGGGGTGGAGGTGTGTAGGAGGCGGCGCTTGCTCATTTGAACTTGACCTAATTATTTGTGTCGTCAGTCGGTCAGTCGCCTTTTGTGCGCCCGCTGTTTACTAGCAAGCTAGTTGTACTGTTTGTCCTATTGATACACTTGAAGAGTTGATAATATATAAATCAAACTACAACAATGTATGGTCTGAGCTGGTTTATATTATTATATACAATAATTTAAATGGCCTTATTACACACTGAGTAACGCAACCATAGTGCAATCTATTTCTATGTCAACGCCATCTATCGAAGTAGAACTAAAACTTTTTTAATTACAAATGTGGTTTCTTCATTAACATACCGCCCACCAAGGACATTTAGTGACGGAATGGCCTTTTAAATTGTACTTAAGTCTAAAATTTGCACTTAAATCTAAAATTTGCACTTAAATTTAAAATTTGAACTTAAATCTAAAATTTGCACTTAATACTTTATAACACACTTCTATAATTTAATCTCATAAAGTATGACCTAAAAACTTACAAATAAAAATAAAGACTTCAACAGCTTAAAATAACCTAAAATAAAATTTTGAAAAGTAACATTGTAAAATTAAACCTATAAATGTAATTAATGTTGTACATATAGCTACATTTGATCGTAAAAGTAAAAGAACATTTGATACAATAATATTTTTACATAAATTTGACATAAAAATTGAACAATTCATGGATCCGAGATAGGCAGAATACATAATTTTGATGTTGGCCTCTTAATTACGGATGTTTTCGTACGCAATGTGACTACACGGGTAACGTTATCATCACCGGGGTGTTTCTCTATAACTCTACCCAATAACCAACGACTTGGAGGCAAATCATCTTCTTTAATTAAAACAACGTCACCAACATTAGGTTCCGGAACTTGTGACGCCCATTTGTACCTATTCATGAGCTTTGACAGATATTCCTGTGACCATCGTTTCCAAAAAGACTGCAGCATCCTTTGCACAAATTGCCACCTAGTTAAATAGCTTACGTTTGAACTTTTGTAATTTTTATCTGGTACATTAATTATCGGTTCTCCTATTAAAAAATGTCCAGGAGTTAAAGGGAGGGGCTCACCAGGATCAGTAAAGTTAATAACGCTTATCGGCCGCGAATTCAGACAGGCTTCCACTTGATTGAGGAATGTAGTCATTTCCTCGTACGTTAGGGTAGAGTCGCCAATAACCCTTTTAAGGTGAAATTTGGTGGATTTTACACCCGCTTCCCAAAGACCACCGAAATTGGGAGCATGAGGCGGAATAAAATGCCACTCGGTATTGTTTGCTTCCAGATATTCTGCTATGGCTGGCTGAATAGATGCCAACTGTTGCAGTTCTCTGGAGGCGCCTACAAAGTTGGAGCCGTTGTCGCTCCACAATTTAGCACAGTGACCTCGTCGCGACACAAAACGTCGAAAAGCGGCTAAAAATGCCTGTGTGCTCATGTCACTGACGACCTCTAGGTGAATAGCACGAGTGGACATGCAAACGAAAAGGCATATGTAGCCCTTATAAGAACGATGCCCACGTCCTTTAGTGGTTCTTATACTTATGGGTCCAGCATAATCCACTCCGCTATATAAAAATGGTCTTGCTGGTGTACATCGAACCGATGGGAGCGCACCCATCAGTTGGTTTCTAACACTAGCTCTCTGTTTCGCACAAGTTACACACTTGCGAACATATTGTTGAACTAGAGATCTAGCACCTATTACCCAATAGGCTGACCTTAAATTGTTTGCCATTAACTGAGGACCACCATGCAATGTCTTCTCATGCGCGTCTGCAACTATAAGAAGAGTCAAATGGCATGAATGTGGTAGAACTATCGGATGTTTTACTTGCTCATCTAGTTCAGACTTTTCAAGTCGTCCACGAATTCGCATGATACCATTCTTGTCGAGAAAAGGACAAAGTGATTTCAATTTACTTGATTTTATATTCAAATACCCTTTTTCCTTTAATTGTTCATATTCTGTTGTGAATGAATCTATTTGTGATTTCCTTATACAAGTTTGTAATGCTGCTTCTATTTCGTGATCTTTCAAATATTTACTATCGTGTTTTTCCTTTTTTAAAACTCTTCGACAATACGCAATAACTTTAACTAATTTTCTTAGACTGGAATCATTTTCGAAAACTACGTGCTCTGGAACTACAGCTGTGTGCGCCTTTATAGTTTGTTCTAAATCTGTCTTTAGATTCCTTGGCCTCTTGTACTCAATTAATTTATTTTTCAGAAATGATGGTCCTGAAAACCATAACTCATTACCGACTAATGAACTGGGTAGTATTCCTCTTGATGCGCAGTCAGCTGGGTTCTCTTTGGTCGGCACATGAAACCATTGAGATGAATTCAAAGCGCCCAAAATTTCTGAAGTCCTGTTGGCAACAAACGTTTTCCACCTGCTAGGGTGACTATTAAGCCACAATAGCACTACTGTAGAATCAGTCCATGCAAAGATCTTTTCCTTTGAAATATTTAAAATCTCTGCTGTCTCTATCAATAACTTTGATACAAGTACAGCACCACATAGCTCCAATCGAGGAATACTAATTTGTTTGATGGGAGCTACTCTCGTTTTAGCCACTAACAACGACAGATGAATTTTGCCTGAGACATCAATTGTTCTTAAGTAAACGACGGCTGAGTACGCTGCTTTAGAGGCGTCACTAAAACCGTGCAATTCAAGGTCATCAGATGAACTAGTACCAAGCCAACGAGGTACCTGAACTTTGGTTAGTAATGACAACTCTTCGCGGTAAGTACTCCACTCTGTTATTACTTCGGTAGTTAATTCCTCATCCCAACATACACCTAAGAGCCATAATTTTTGTATGAACATCTTTGCTAATACGACACTAGGAGCTAACCATCCCAATGGGTCGAACAAACGAGCTATATCTGATATTATTAGTCTTTTTGTTACAGGTGCTGTCGTCAGCGGTGGAAGATTTACCGAGTACTGAAAGCAATCTTCGTGGCGGTTCCAGGTAAGTCCCAAAATTTTTATTGTACTATCTAGCTTAATTTCTATTTCCTTATTATCTATTTCCTTTTCCTTAACTCCTATGTCCTCTTTGTCCTTATTTTCAGTGTTCTCATTTTTAATTTTTATTTGACCTGTTTGCTGTACTACTTCATTTGTATATATTGAACTTATTCTATCTAATAGTTGCCGATTGTTACTGTTCCACTTCTGCAATGCGAATCCTCCCTTTCCTAATAATGCTACCATCTGTTTACAGATTTCAACGCCCTCTTCGAAGCTATTACTTCCCATCATTAAATCGTCCATATAAAAAGAGTTTAAAACTCTATCTGCTGCAAGCGGGTACTTATCTCCTTCGTCGTACGCAACCTGATGGAGTGACCTAACTGCCTGATATGGTGCAGAAGCTGTTCCAAAGGTCACCGTTACCAACTCATAATCTCTAAGTGGCTTTTCAGGGCTTTCTCGCCAAAGTATCCTCTGGAAGACAGCATCTTCATCCGCTATTCTGACTTGGCGGTACATTTTGATTATATCCGCCACAATACCAATAGCGTGTACTCTCCATCTAAGAATGGTGTGTCTTAAGTCTGCTTGCAGCGTTGGTCCAACCATTAAAGTGTCATTGAGTGAAACTCCTTTTTTATTTTTCTCAGAGGCGTTGAAAACTACACGTACCTTCGTGGTGGTCTTATCGTTTCTAATCACCGCGTGGTGTGGTAAGTAAACTGCTTCATCTTTCTTATTATCCTCTTCCTTTACAGGTCTCATGTGTCCTAATTGTAAGTATTCATTAATTACCTCTGTATATTTTTCCTTTAAATATGTGTCCTTATTTAATCTTTTTTCTAACGATTTGAATCTGTTTCAGCTATTTCACGGGAACTTCCGGCCTTGCATGCAGGATCTTCGTCTCGAAATGGTAAACGTACAATGTATCTGCCTGTATCATCCCTCTTAGTAGTTTTCATATAAAATTCTTCACATTTTTGCTCTTCTGGGTTAAGTAATTTCCTTGTACTAACTTGTTCTTCTATCTCCCAGAATTTCTTTAGAATATTGTCTTCATTGAACTGTGTACAGTGCATACTTAAATTTCTTGTGTGGTGTTTTGAACTCTCATTGCTTGAACTGACTACACCGGAAAGGATCCACCCTAAGGTGGTGTTCTGCGCTATTAGAGTACCAGACGGACTCTTTACTACACCTTCCTTCATAATGCAACAGTAAGCATCTGCACCCAAAAGAATGTCTATTTTATTAGGTGTTTTGAAATAAGGATCTGCCAAACAAAGACCGTTGATATCAATCCAATCCAATGAACTGGTATTCACACTTCTCTCAGGTAAGTATGATGTAATCTTACTCAAGACGTAAGCATTTATTTGAAGTTGAAAATCAAGATCAACAGTGGATTTAATAATTAAATTTACCATATAATTAGCAATGGTTGACTTATTATCTCCTAAACCTGAAACGTGACCTCGGACTGGAATTTTCTTAAGCCTAAGAAATTGGACAGTGGCCTCTGTTATAAAACATGCTTGTGATCCTTGATCAAGTAGGGCTCGAATTGTTTGAAATTCACCTATCTTGGACTCTGCCTTTATTAATGCAGTGGCTAATAAAACCTGTCTGGGTTTTAAGACTTTGCCCGTAGATAAGCATGTAACTATCTGATTGTCACTATTTGAAGAACTGGCGTTGTCGATAGTGGACTTTACTGTAGAATCTTGGCCTTTATTCTCAGCGTTAGGTTCTCTATTAGGGTGCAGCAAGGAATGGTGGCGCTTTTTGCAAACTCTACAGACATTCTGCTTTTTACAGTCATAAACTGTATGATTTCCGCCTAAACAATTAAAACATATTTTATTTTTTGCTACGAACTCTCGTCTGTTTTCTATGGACTGTTTTGCAAATTGCTTACAAAAACAGAGCTTGTGAAGTTCTGAGCAAAATTCGCAACGAATATTCGACGACCTTGTGGCCAGCATTGCTTTCGAACTAAGAACGTGAGAACTATTATTGATCTGGTGAGCCACAGCCTTCCTCGGCTCTATACATTCTAAAGCGCGAAAACGACTTTCAATAAATATCCGAAACTGCTCAAAGGTGGGCAACTCGTTGCTGGAGTCATTAGAAACACTTAACTCCCACTGCTTTCGTGTTTCATTATCTAATTTGAACGTCACTATATGGATAACAATAACGTCCCATGTACTTACATCGATTTTCAAATTTTTCAATGCATTTAAACAGTCGCTCGTGGTATCTAGCAGCTCCTTTAATGAGTTAGCCGATTCCACATGTAAGCGTTTCTGGCCGAACAATCTTTTTAAAATACAACTGGTTAAATACTTTTTATTTGCATAACGCTTTTCTAACTGAGACCAACATTCGCGGTAATTGGCATCTGTGATTGGTGTGTGCCTAATCAACTGTTCGGCTTCACCAGTGAGGTGGCTTTTAAGATAGTGCAGTTTTTGCACATTATCTAAAGATGCATTATTGTGTACAAGTGAAATAAAAAGATCGTGAAAAGATGTCCATTCACTGTACTTGCCAGAAAAGGTAGGAATTGTTGTCTTGGGCAACTTTACAAATGAATTAGATTGCTTAGAAGAATTATTACTACATCCACTGTCTTGTGGTAGCGGTTCTCTTACACTATACGTTGATTTCATTAAACATTTACATGATATGTAAGTATCTTCGGTTGTGTCATATATATCGACAACCTTTTGACCTATGTCTTCTAACTTAAACCGACCATAAAGTTGAGATTTAGTATTTTTAAACGAAGACCAATCATTTTCTAATAATTCAAGCCTTGTTTGTATATATTCTACTGTAAGTCTATCCTTTGGACACTTTTTAAAATTAGTAAAGGCTTTTTGAATTACTTGTTGAAGGTCTTTTAATATATTAATTTGTCCTTCCATCGTAAACAACAAACAAAATGATGGTAAAAGATAGTTATAGAATTGATTAATTAATATCAAAAAAAAGTATAATTTAATTATTTATGTGAAGATAAATTTATCAATCTAAATGTTAACACAATATTAACTTGGTAACAGAACAACCTCAATTGAAATGTATAACTTTACAAGTTTCTTTACTAGACAAAAGTTTGCGATTTTTTCTAAGTCTCAAAAACAACGAAAAATTTTACAAGTGTTTATAAATAAATACACTCTGGTAGAAATCGGACATAGGTTCCCCGTTCCTCCGTTTTTATAAAACTTATTCTAAGTCCTTAATCTAACATGCACAATTTTAAAGTTAAAATCTTCTTAGAAATAAAGTTTAAAATTGCTTGGCAAATAATGTCTACAGTACTTGTCACCAATCAAGTTATATTAAATGTCTCTGCTACTATGGTATTTAATTAAGGCCTTAACAGTGGTTGAAATGCCTAAATCTAGGATATTTAAGTAAAAAAATCTCAATAACTGTTCATTTAATCCACAAAGAAAAAATACAGGGTAACAGAAGAAGATTTGGTAAATGTTTTTAATTTAACAAAATTGTATTTTTGTCAACCGCTTATTAGAAAAAAAATCCCCAAAGAGTACCTATCTTTGTCATATTTTGCAAAATTTCTCCAAAACGGCACAAGATTTTTAAATAGTTCTTACACTAAAAAAAAGGTCTTAAAAATATTAATATTTTTAATTGAGAGTTTTATTTTTATTACCCGTTTTATAAGATAATATATCATTTTTCCCTGAAATTGAATATATTTACGCGAGCGCGCATGCTCCGTCGCCATGTAAGCTCTGTCACAGTCCGTTTTCGGACATCGTCGAGGGTGGACCGCACGTCGGTGTTGGAGCGACTTCGTTCAAATATATATTAGTTTTTTAAAAGTTTATACTCAATTATAAATATTTTTATGACTAGAAATACTTAATTTAGTTAATATCTGTACACTGGTAACTATAAATATTATTTTCTAAATAAATGAATTTTTAAAGTGCCCAAAGAAGAAGAAATTTTTGCGGCGACGTTGATTAGTGAAATTGAAAAATGAATTTTTATATAATTTAGATGTGGAACGACGAACATGCTCTCGTTACTTAGATTTCGATAGTTTTTAATACCTATGTAATTTTATTGTTGCATATTTTTATTAATTAGTTGATAATGAATTTTATAATTATGTATTACAATAAAACGCTGTTTTTATGAGTATGACTTTATAAAATATTTAGGTACACTGTTATCAAATTAAATCAAACAATTTAAATAAATAAAAGAATGGTGCTTACCTAAGTATAAATAACTATATAAAGACATTCTTGGGTTTATGGTTTTTTTTTATGTTAGACAAACTATCATCTAAAAAATATAAAAATTTTAAATTGGAGAGGGGTTTCTCTACATAATAAAGTTAGAAATGAAGATATTTGCATTAGAACCAGAGTAACTGACATAGCCCAACGGAATATTACAGTGAAATGGCAATGGGCTAGCTATATAACTTGGAAAACAGATAAAAAATAGGAAGAAAGGTCCTCGAGTGGCAACCTCGTACAGGTAAGCGAATTAGTACTCAACCTTTATTCCTCTTCACGTATTCTCATACACACACACACACACACACACACACACACACACACACACACACACACACACACACGCACGCACGCACGCACGCACACACACACACACACACACACACACACAAATAGGTCGCAAATAATACTTACCTAGTACTATTAGGCAAGAGTGAATAGGTTTTTGTTAAGTCAGTGCAATTCACCATCTTAGACTACAGAACCACTTACCGATGGGATTGTAGTTGCTTTACTACTTGCTTCGTAAAAATAGTAAAAAAAAAATTTACCCTGTGAAAGTTTGCATTTAGATATAATTTTTCTAACCAACCATAAAAATATGATGAGAATATGTATATAAGTGTAAAGGTTGCCTCACACGGGACAGTAATAATATAATATTATATCTTCCATTATCTACGCATGAAAACTTTTAAAATCTCTGAATCTCGAGGTATGTTCATCTTAAGAGGCTGAATAGAGCCACATTGAAATGCATGGGGATCGTTTTGTAATTTCACGTCATTATCGAAAAAAAAATTGTACGTATTTCAGGTGGCGGCTTGCAAAACACGATTCCACAAAAATTAACTCAATAGAAAATAATTGCAAAGTTGCTTCTAAAAACACTTAAATTTTCAACGTCAATTTTTTTTACGTAGTAGAGTCATGCTGCAGCTATATTAGTAGTAGGTATAGTTGTAGCACGAATGGGTCGGCTCGACCGGGGAAGGAGCACGCTCTCACGGAATAACATGTAAAATAGCAGTTTAACCCTGCTGTGTTTCGTATGGTCAGTGTAGAGAACCGGAGAACCTTTTTACTGGAAACGAGGGATTATCATCTTAGTCCTCACGGGTAACAACGCATCTACATTTTGATACGTAATCGAGAATAGATGTAGATGTGTATGGGCCGTAGCAACCACTTACCATCAGGTGGACTGTGTGCTCGTTTATCACCCTTATTCTATTTAAAAAAAAAAACTTTCTGAGATTTCAGTAAAATAATGTTAAGTATTGTAAGCACTCGTACAATTATGTCTCATGTTAATAAAGTTATTGGGTTATTTTGATTTGTAATAAAGTGATTTTACTTTATAGGTTAAATAATTTATTTACCTTTCTATATTAAGAACCGTTTTTCTGTCACTCCTATTGAATTTGACAGTGCTTGCTGAAATTTAGCATCTTTAGATGTATCAGAATCGCGCGCTGATCCGGCTGTTAGATATTGCAAAAATAATCGAAAATATTTATTATTACTTTCATGCCGAAGACTACCTTGTTTTATTTTATTACGGTCAAATAATATTTATTAGGTTATAAAGCAAGTATTTTTGTAAATGTTTTGTATGTAAATGTAAATGTTTTCATTATTTTGTTATTCTATTGTTTATAGTTATTATCACGTCTTAGCTTTACACCAAGAATTACATTAGAAATTCTTGATGGGATGCGATGTAACGCGCATACATTATTTTCATCAAGAACTATAATATATATATATATATATATATATATATATATATATATATATATATATATATGCTTTTTTTTACCAGTAGAGTTTCAACAAAATCTTAAAAAAGTTCAATGAATTAAAAAAATGCCAATAATTATATAATTTCGAGTCAGTATTTTACATTTAAAGATCAGTTATAAAGAGCCAATGTTATTATTTTCATTTTGATTTATTTAATTCGAGACTAAAATAAATGTGATAGGGCTTTTATCTGCAATAATAATTTTCATCAAAAATAACATAGACTTATAAAAGTCATATACACGGTCAATCATACTGAAGATTATAAATGGTACTACAAAATATTTAAAAGACTATTTCCAGTATAATGACCCGAATATCATCATTAATGTTTGACTGGCACACTTAAAAGTTTTATCACATGGCTAAATGATTGACTTTTATATTATGATAAGGTCATGCTTTTCTATAAAAAGTTGCAAGAAATTTTAAATCACGGACCTATTGCTTTGTTTTACTTTTTACTTAATTAGTGAAAAACAAAATGGACTGATCTAAAAGTTTACTTTCTTGTGTAAAAAGTGCTATTTAGAATTTTATGCAAATGATAATTAAAGTTTCTATGTAAATAAGTGTAACATAGCGGGTATTATATTTAATGGTAGCGGCCATACATATTTTTTTTAAAAAAAAAATAAGTGTAACATAGCGGGTATTATATTCAATGGTAGCGGCCATCCATATTTGCAAAGCCAGCATCATTTTCTGTACAGAAACCGGCAAAGTGTTGCTCAAGGCACTATAAACAAAGCAGCTGATAAAATGTTACACTCATAACTGTTACCAAAAACTGTTTTCGCAAATGGTCTTATAGATAATAATAACTATTCCGCCGTGTTAGGTGCAGGAGCTATTATTAGAAGGAGAAGAGGTAAAATTTTGTTTTAGAAATGCGCACACAATATCGTTTTGTCTACAATTGAGCATAAAATAAAAAATAACTTCAGCCAAAGAGCACAACTGGCATTATACTCAGGCCCATCAATTGGTATGGAAAAAAATTTTTACCAGGTTTCAAAAATCAATCAAAAGTCAAAAAACATAAATATTAAAATCAAAAAATGTATATATGTATGTCTATACATACACATAATGATTTATGGCCGCTTAGTAACTGACGGTGACTCACTATAACATCCTACAGTAATACGGAAATTTTGTGATAAAATTAAAAAAAATATAAACTTATCCAAGTTAATCTAACTTAGTCTAACTTATATAAATAGTGAGATGGCGTCAGTTTTTAAGAAGATATAACAAAATAAACAAAAAAAAATTTCAAAAAAGTTCAGTATTTAATTGATTATATACCGCTGACACTTAATCACGCTTTTCGAAACCACGCCAGTTGTAAACAATACTTGTGTGAAAAGACAAAATATTCTTTTTAAATTTCCGCCGAGTTGTAAGTAGAAGATCAAATAGGTCACGTGTCAATTTTAATTAAATATATTTTATATGAAGTAATCTTGACTACGTTTCATCAATTAACCATTGGTAAAAATTAAAACAGGAATTTTACGATTGTGTTTACAAAAAACATTATTAGTTGAACCTTGCAGCTTGTTCATTATTTTTATTATAAATACCTATAAATGTATATATTATTAATAAATAGTTCCCATAATATATTGGATTATTTTTTATTTTACCCTATCTGCAATGTTCTTCGCTCTATAGAAAATGTGGCGTATGACATGACTGACAATCTTTCGAACGTTTTATCTAGGTACAAAGATGTTTTACGTTTTCGTCGCCTCCACATGATATTTTTGTCAGCATAAGGTACCCTTCTATATCTGAAACGTATATAAATATTGCTACAAAATGAAGTA